AGTTTTGTTGCCCTAACACATTCACTACAAAGGTCTGAACGAAAACCTAATGGCATGACACTCTCAGCTGCGCTCAGAAACCATATACAAAGTTGAAAAATTCTCAAAAAAGGTCAATACTGAAAACCAGTTTCTAGTTCGATTCAAGCCTCAATTCTTGTTCTATCATCATCCTGAAACATCATTGAACGATTCTCAATCATTAACATCAACCAAAACGCAAAGGAGTGGTATCTATAACTCAAACTGTGAAGCAAAATTTTTGAAATCGCATAGCATAATTCAAGCATCCTTTTGCATTTTTCTTTATGGATTCTTGCTCATAATGATGTTTCTAAGCTGACCAACATATTCAATTATGTTTTTGTGCCATATATGCGTTTTTGCCATTGTTAAATATTAGGGTTACAGGTTTTCCAGATTGGGGCTTTCATAACCAAGTGAAATTAGGACTCAAAATCACCACTATCAAACTCAGCTCAACTGGACGAAGAGATCCCAATAGTCGCGATGAATTTATGTTCAAGAATAGCCTAATCGCTATTTTCTTGAAAGCTGCCTTAGACCACGCCCAGAAAACCGTTTCCATAGGCTTGTGCTTTTCAGAAAAAATAAAAACATTGAGGAAGATGATGTGGTGGCGAAGCGTGATTCGCTAGTTTGAATTGCGCGCGTTTTTAATTACTATGCGTTGGTTTTGCTTTTTGTTGTTTATTTGATATAATATATTAAATGAAACGTGATGGCTCAGCTGGCAGGTACCAATACATGCAACCTCCAAGACCTGGGTTCAAGTCCCAGGTCTGTACAAATCCCATATTATTTTTCATCAATTAATCCTATGCAGCTTCAGCGCGATGGTTTACCATATTCCATCCAGATCAGACCCTACATACATCCAAGAACACCAGATCTAAAGGCCAAGATTCAGGGAACGCAGTATGCCTTAGTCAACACACCATATGGAAACTGGCAAAGTCAATGGATCCAATGCTTAATGGGCTTGACTTGCTGAACCTTACCTCCAATTTTGGGGCTACACCCCACCCTGGTTTGCCAATTTTATTTATTTTTCTTATATCTTTTTAATTATTATTTTAATTGTTATGTTTATTTTAATTATTGTTTATTTAATTTTTAATCAAAATACAAAAACATCATAAAATTAAAAAATGCCAAAAAATATAATTTTTATTTTATTATTTCCATAAATAAATTGTATGTAAATTATTTAGTTTAATTAGGTTTTTAACTTTAATTCCTTTCAATAACTAAAATCCAAAAATAGAATTAGGTTTAATTTTTATTCTTCTTACTTTCTTTTTAATAATATTTATTTTATTTATTTTCTATAATTAAATTTTATATGTAAATAAACTTAGTTTTAATTAGGTTATAATTTCATTCTTTTTAACAACTAAAAATCCAAAAAAATATAGAATTAGGTTAATTAGCAATTTTGATTCCTTTTCATATTTTGCCCTTTTTTTTACAGTAATAATTATTTATTTATTTATATTTTATAATTAAATTTGTACATAAATAAATTAGATTTAAATTAGGTCGAATTTCAATATTTTCACAATAAACTTAAAAAAAACATTAGAATTAGGGTTTAGCATTTCATTTTAATTTTAATTAATTTTTCTTTTTTCTTTTAAATCTTAAAAAACACAAAAATACCCAAAACATTTAATTTTTTCATTTTTTTATTTTAATTCCTTATTAAATTTAATCTTTTTGCAAGAAGGGTCCAACGCCCATTGTTTTTAATTATTTAATTTGCGCATTTATTTTATGTCATTTACTATAATTTTGTATCTCTCCCAAAGCATTGTAATTTAAACTTCTTGCACTTTTATTTTATTGCTTTATTTATTTTCCGCTAAATCGGGTCCGGTTTAATTTTGGCGATGTGGACCCGCGCCATTTGTAATAACCTTAGATTTATTTTCCCGCAAATATTTAACTGTTAATATGCATGCAAGAATGAATGGCCCTAATTAAAATCAAGCGTAGAACATCACAATGAACATGACAAGACAAATAACTGAAACATGACACACAATGCGCGCACACCACCCCTAGGGTACGCCTCACTGTTGCCTTTCGAAAGGTGATCGTCGAGTAGAGGATGTCTTAGTAAGTCCTCATGATCCGGGAACCTGGCATGAGGGTAGCTTCTAAGGTGTCTTCCCATTGCTCTGGTGATCACCATGTCCCTAAACTCGAATTGACCCGAACACCTCCAACGGTGGTGCTACCTACCTCTCAATGGTGGGATAGCACTACTTTAAAGGACATCTACACAGACGAATTCCTTAGGGTAGGTAGATTCTCAAGGATACTTGCTCTAATTTCAAAAACAAACAAAAATCTTTTCACCAACACATTTTCAAAAGCTTTCAAAGCAAACTTTTCAAACACTCTGACATACGAGTCGAACTGGAATTTTTCAAAGAAACTTTTTTAAACCCACATTGAAAAGCAAACAAATGATTTTGAAAACACATTGAGCAAGTATCTAAGAGCCCATGGATAACCATGGATAGAAAGGGTGCTAACACCTTCCCTTTCTATAACCTACCTCCCGAACCGAGAGCAATCTCTATAAGGAATTTTTCTGTGCTTTTGTCCTTTCCATTTGGAGAAAATAAAAGACGGTGGCGACTCTTGCTTCCGCGACATTTCGCGAACCAGCGTTAAACAGTCAGTTCCAGATCCACCGATCACACAAGGAAATTACTCTAGTAAAAGTAGTTTCGAGAGGAGCAGCTGGAGGAAGTATGACGTGGGAGTTAGAGAGAAAGATGTGGGAGTGTTATCCAAAGTTGTTCATATAAGTTGATTTTTGACGAAAATATTCTAAGTGGGGGATAGTTGTAACGCCTCATTTAAATACTTAGTCATTGTTTGTTGATTTTGAATTTGCTTTGACATTTTATGGTGAAACTTAGTTTTGAGGAATAATACTATTATTATTAATATTATAATAATTATTAAGATTGTTAATATTGTTATTAATATTATTCTTATTATTAGTGGAGTGTTAATAATGATAAAATACAATATAAGAGGGTTAGACCATTTGGGAGAAAAACTATTGTCACGTAGAAACAAAGAAGAGAAGAGAGAAGTAGGGCAAAGGAAATTCTCCATTGTTGAAGCATCAAAGCTGAAAATTAAGGTAAGGGGGTGAATGGATTCTCTAAATTGGTGATATTAACATGAGAGGATAGTGAGGGTTCCTTTTCCTCTTTCGGTTTTTCATGAATGATTTGATGAATGTCTTCTTGGTCTGAATTATGTTGTTTTATATGATTGTTATGTGAAATTCGTGAACCCAATGATGTTATTGATGTGTTGCTGTTGTGATTATGTTATTCTTGTGTTGTTCATAAAAATTCCAAATCTGAAAAATTGTAGATCTAGGGGTGTGACAAAAATTGGAAGAATTGATGTAGAAATTGGTGTATGATTGTAGAATAATGAAGTAGAATGAAATCTCTAAGTTCATATGTGAAAGAATGTTGTTTTGGACCCAATTCTGGAGGTGGAAAGTGCTCAAAACGAGTGGAAATCGTTCTGATGCGAAACAAAGTTTTTTTGGTCACAGACTGCCGTTACGTGTAAGACATGCAACGTTACGCGTAATGCAGGCTACATTACGCATATGACAAGAGTGTTACGCGTAAGATATGGCAAGACAGAGGAAATTACGCGTATTATAGGTAACATTACGCGTATGGAAGGTAGTACAGAAGCCATTACTCGTAATGCAGGCAACATTACTCGTAAGGTAGAGCATGCAACAAGGCAACAAGCGTATCATGGGCAGCAATACATGTATGGGCAGGTGAAGGTGTAAAAATCCCCGTTTTCGCGATTTCTTTTTGTTTTCGCATGTGGAGTGTATTCTCTCGATCCATAATGACTAGTAAGGATTAGATGGACATAAGAAAGCTAGTAATAATAATAAATTAAGTTTAAAACATGGGATTTTATGTGGAATTTATGTTGTATGATGATGATGATGATGGTCTGTATTGACGAATGTTGAAGGCTCATGCCTTGTGGTTGCATAATTATGTTGTTGCATATGATGTCGCATGTTGCATAGTGCTGAGGGCTTATGCCCTATTGTTAGCCTGTAATGGCATTATGATGAGGGATTATGCCCTGTTATTTTCCAAATTGGAATAACAGATGAGGGCTTATGCCCTGATGGTACCACATGCATTGAGTTGATGTCGGTCTCATTGCGTTGCATTGATTTGAGTTGATGTTGAATTACGTGAGCGATGTATTATGTTGCGAAGTACTGTGTGATGTGTGGATTGTGTGATTACTACTCCTTAGTATGTGATATTCATTGTATATTTATTGAATGAAATTTTCACCCTTTTGTGTTGATGTGTCTGTGCTCTTCTGGGAGTACAGATAATCAGGTACCCGAGTAGTGCTTGGAGTGAGTGTTACCTGATTGAGTCATATGAGTCGCTATGAACTAGGAATCTTTGTTATATTTTGTTTTATTTCATTTGTTACGTATCTTCCATTTGACTTATGTTGGACCACACATTTGTGGAGTTTTATTTGTTGTCGAAGTTGTAATGACATGGAATTGAACAAATTTTATTATTCCGCTGCCGAAATGATTATGTTCGAATAAAAGAAGTCATAAAGTGACTTTAAAATTTATGAATATTTGAAGTATGTTCGAATATTTGAAGTATGTACTCTGGTATATGTTAATGTAATTGCTATCGTGAAAAAGTGGGGTCTTATAACGATTCCTCCATTTCCTTAAGCAACCTAAGAGTAGTCTCTTCCTTCAAGTGCATGCAAGAAATAGTAATCATAGTATTGAATGTAACAATATCTCTCACAATACCTTGTTTAGGCATATCCTCAAACACATCACAAGCATTTTTTAACCTACCGGTTTCCCAAGAATGAAGATCAATGAGCTATAAAACTGTTTGTCATCCATAATATGGTCATTCCTCATTCTTCATTCTTTCATATGCCTCCAAAGCTTTTCTCAATTTTCCTGCTTTATCGTAACCGAGCAACATAATAGTATAAGTCACAACATTAGGAGAACAACCATTCTCCCTCATCTCCTCTAAAATTTTAGGGAGTTTTTCATTTGGTACTTGGTTTACACCTATTTTCTCATCCAAAGCATTGTCATTATGGAGCAGTGACTTTTGAAATACTGATAGTTTCTTTAGCCAAAGCCTCAGTCTTTCTATCCAATTGTGCACTACATGTTTCTGACTGAAATTTCCATAAAGCTGCAGAAGTGAACATGTCATATTATACCTGATACCTAAGTGTTAAGATTTGTAAGATAATTTTAACAATTTAAACATAATCATGATATCACACATAACTTACAAACTGAGACTGCAATTTATAATACTTTCACCTTGAATTATGTAAATAACTCATCTATATAAGACCGACCACCATTCTTTGATACTACCTGGTTTACCAAAGAGAGTAGTTGTTGAACTTGTTTGAATCTATTCTCTTTATCCTTTATAATGTTATCAAAAAGCACATATCGATTATGACATAATGAAATAATTGCCTGCATTAACGTTAATGTCAATTTAAGATCAATGAAATTATTAATTTTCGATTAGAGATTCAGTAAAAGAACTTCCCATTAAAAACTATATTAGCATACAGAAATCCATAGAAATAGCTTCACCTCAAATGTTATAATACTAATACAAACCTTTAAAGGTTCAGGACATTTATGGCCTAAATAATCATCGTCTAGCGTCAGATCATCATTTTCCAATGCATCTCCATTGGTAAAGACCACAATCATATAGTCAACAATTTTGCTTCCAAACAATATCTGCAAGCTACGTAGAGCATTTTCTTCTTCGACACTAAAGAGTGTTTTAATAGACAACACTACAATGATGGAATGGATCCCATCCTTAGCTAAACCAATGCATTTGAGTATTTCTTCCCCAATAGATTTAGCAGAAAGATCAAATAATTCTGCGAACCAAATGAAGAAAAAATAGTTAAAGCGAAATATTAGTAATCATAATTCACACTACATAACTCAAACAATGCATGCTAATCACATCCCAAAAACATTATGAGGAGAATGTTTCTGGACATTCTTATGAAAATACATATAGAAATTAAAACCATATTTAACTTTATTTTACAATCTCTAAAATCTTATTGAAGTCTTTCTTCAAAGCCTAAGTTAGTGTATATATATATATATATATATATATATATATATATATATATATATATATATATATATATATATATATATATATATATATATATATATATATATATATATATATATATATATATATATATATATATATATATATATATATATATATATATATATATATATATATATATATATATATATATATATATATATATATATATATATATATATATATATATATATATACTTGGACTATCAATAACATTAATGACTTGTCCATCATTCATCACAATTGTCTGTATTTCACAAGAGGTGGTGATACTGGAGGAGCTTGTCTTTGTCTTGAAAACCTTTTTTCCAAGAATAGTGTTACCAGTTGCACTCTTGCCATTGTTGGTTTGCCCAAACAAAACCAATGTCTTGACATTATTAGGCGGAGAAGCAAACTCCCAATCATTCACGGAAACAATAGAACTTCCACCCATCACAAATTGATATTAGCTGGAAAAAATAAAACAAATTTTGTAAATACATTGATTACCAAATATAATGTCACTAAACACCTAAAAATTTCAAATTCAGCTTGTGTATTTAAGAATGGATGATATGCAGACAACAAATTGTGCCATAATCACCGAATTCAAAAAACAGAAAAGGAAATAGAACTTTGTGATCGAAAATTAGCTATTCAACAAAACCTAACTCGTTGAAACAATAACAATCGGTGATGATGACTTGGTGTATGCGAGGAATTGAGTGTCAATGGTAGTTGGAGATCGGAGATGAGGCCGAATACACAAACATCTAAGAAGTTTCTGCGGAGAACGACGTCAACTTTAAATTTATGTTAAAAAAGTTGATTCTGATAGGTTGGACTTCGGCGGAGAACGGAGCATTTGAGTTCAATGTTGATGACGATGATTTTAATAGATTAGAAAAATTGAAAGTATTTATTTTAAATTTCTTAAAATGCAGAAAAAATTGGATCGATGATTCACTTTAAAAATTTTATAATTAAAAAGGAATTAAAAAAAATCTCACTTTTTCTTCATTTAATTTTTATTTGAAAGTCATTTTCGCTTTGGTTTTTTTAGTACTGGTTTCTTATTTACTTAATAATACTTCAATTTTCTTTATCACTTCTAACTCAGTTTCAGACGGTTATATTTTTTTTTTCCTAAGAAATTCGCCATCATATAAATACCCACGAACTTAACCGCCAAATCTAACTTCCACTAACTCAATTCAAATTTTTGAAAAAAGAAAAAGATGACGAAGGGAAGAAAAACCAAAGTCTCCGATCTTCTGAAAACACCTTCACCGGCAGCTTCTCCGACGGAAAGTTCACCGAAATCGCCAATCTTCACGCGAGCAGCTTCCACTTCCAAAGGCGTGAAGAGAGTAGCCGCCGCTCTTACCACCACCACTTCACCGCCTCGGAGTACTCACAAAGCTCCGAACAACATCTCCGACCTCAAGAGACTCGCTTCTTCAAGTATCAACGATCTGAAACGCCGGATCGATCGATCTCACTCTGAGATCCTCAAGGATCTCGAAGCTTCTCATTCGCGCCTCCACAAGCGTTTCAAGGTTTCTTCTCCTGCTTTCTCAAACTCGATAATCGATTTCGAAAATCGATTTGTTCTTTATAGATCGTTAACTCTGATCCGAAATTAAGTTGAATTCCGTGGATTTCAATGGAATATTCAAATTATTGCCTAGTTTAGGTTCAGATTTAGATTTAGTTTAGGTTAAAACAGAGAGAACGTAATTAGATGAGTAGATTAGTATAAGATTCAGATCTAGTTTAGGTGAAAACAGTGAGAAATTAAACATTACGAAATTTGATTTAATCAAGATAGATCTTAATTAAGATTAGTTGTTGATTTATAAACTGTGACGTTTCTAATTTGAAAAGTTTAGATGCAGAGTCAAGGATGCCAGCAAGCAACGGAAGAAGCTGAAAAGGATTACAAGAAATTGTCGGAACGGATTACGGAAAGCCGAGATGCAATGAAGGTGGTTCTTTCTTCATTATCATTTCAAAAATCTGATTAAGAGTCTGATATAATGTTTTTTAAAAATATATTTCAGGCTTCTTATGAAGAATTTATGGTTGATGCACAGGCTACAGCATCCCGTGGTATGTATAGTAGAATCAATTTCGAAAGAACAAAATGCTTTTGTTTCAATTCATGGCTGTTATTTTGTACTAACTGTTTAGCATGAAAGAGTGATGATGAACGCTTTTGTAGAAATAAGCATTCATACGCTATTGTGGATGTTATATTATACATGAGATGAATAAACTAAGGAGTGATAAAAGCTGTTAATCGCGGACAAAACACTGACACATCAACACCAATGATAATTTGGAAGATATGGAATTAATTGAGCGTAATTACATGTATAGTATCTTATCAGTGTTTACATCGATAAATATCGGTGTCATACATCAGACAAATCTGTGTTGGACACCAAACATGTTGTCAATCTAAACTATCAGCACTACGTATTTATAAGCCTTCCTAGGTTATCCAGGCGCATCAGAATGATATTCGTATTATAATGTTTAGAATGATATTCGTATTATAATGTTTTTACTGATAAGCATTAACTGTTATGCCTGATTTACCTTCTTCAAAAGATGGAAAATAGAATTTTTTTGGTTGATGTAGTTCATTACCTGTTCTCATTGTTCAACGTACTTGTATTTAGGTGTCATATCTCATAATTGCTAATTGCAGTCTTCATGCATACATATACTGTATTCATTTGATGATGGTACTAATTTTCATTTAAAAATTTCAGCATGCAAAACTTCTATAACTGAGCTTTCGCAGAAGTTTGAGAAGACTATTGACTCTCTTCGAAACCGTCATGGGATTACATCTAAATAGCTTTATGGTAAGTTTCAATTCTTGGTATTTTCATGGTTTCTGGATCAAACCAGTCTGTGTTTATTCACTCAGCCATTCTGTTTTTCAATTCTTGATTCCTTGAATGATTGCTACCAGCATTACAAATATTTTTAAGACACTTCACAAAATTTTAGATTAAATGAGAAAACTTGTAAGAAAACAGATTAAATTTCAAAACTTCATAGTTACTACTTATTTTCTATTTTAGTCCATTTATTGCATATTTGCATTCACATTTCCGTAAGTCCGATTTTATGGTAAATCAAATATTGCAAGATTAATCAGTCCAAGAAAGGTACGGAGCAGTTCCCTCCATATAGTCAGAAATTTTCAATTTATAAACAATATAAATCATACCAAAACTTATTTTCTTTAAGTCACTGAAAAAATGCAGCTATGTCAAAGATGTCAGCATTCTCACAGAGAGCAAATTTCAAATTTGATTTGTTTTTACCCTCTAACTACTTTTAGTTTATAGAATTTTATGATTATTCTTTCAGTATTAGTTTGGTTATACTATCTAAATTTACATGTTTTGATAATCCAGGAAAGATAAAGAAGAGCTGTCTGTATTCTGGAGCACAACAAAGGTAGATTTAAAAAAAAAAGGACTTGATATCCAGTTAGTTTTGTTTTTTCATCATCTTTTTTGTTATTCTCAAATCCAATATACAAAAAGAAAGCAAAATTAGGAAATACTCAGTTTCCTGTTAGTACTGTCAATTATTAGGCTATTGATATTTGTGTTCTTGATGCATGTATGGTTGTGGATGTGTATAATCGGTTGACATATATGGATGCTCTAATAAAATTGCTTTTATTATTGCTATAATTTGATTCTTTTACATGTATTATTCAACATAACATTCTGTTACTTTAATCTCGTTCCGTTGGTAGCTTTGCAGAAACCTATCATTTTAATTAATTGAATTGAATCAAGAGTTGATCTGTTCACCGGTTGATTTAAAACTGATATTAAATGTGTTTAAAACATAATTTGCTTTTGAGTAAAGTCTTCAATTAATACTACATCTGTCCCTAAATGTAAGGTCTAATAGAGTAAATTACGAGAATTAAGAAAATTGGTTAGAAATGACTGAAATGATAACTATTGATCTTGTTATTATTGTTGTCTTGAATCTTTCCCTTTGTCCTCGTCATTGTGTCCTACTAGTCATTGTTTCTTACTAGCCGTTAGGGACGAGGAGAGAGGTTGGCCTTTGATCTGTATGTTATGTGCTTTAGCCCAGTCCATAACAATTTGTTCTTAAGTTGACGGTCTAAGAGAGTGAAAAGTGACAACTTTATCTAAGCGATGGAGAAATAATCCGAAGAGAGATTTATCTTGACCTTACGGCAGTGACGACTTGATTGAAGAGGGAAAGATGATTCACAGAGGATTTTATTAGAGTTTGAGATGATCGTGGTAATTTAATTTGAACCTTTTGATAATTGGACGATGATTTTTCCTGAGCTTGACATGGCAGTAATAATGTAGGAGAAAATATCACGAGTGTTTGATCATTTCGGGATGTTGCCAAAGTGAATGGCTTAGATGATTCTTGTGTAGTACTTCTTCTTCTTCTTAAAATGTTTCGGAGTGTTGTTTGTGGTGTTTTTAACTGACATTACAAGTTAACACACTAAAATTGATTATTCTTATAATTCAACTCCTCATTTTAACATAAGGGATTGGGGGCTCCTGTTTTGGACCGGATTTTTTGGCTGACTCAATCCAAATATCATCTCATTGACCTATACAAACAACATACTATAATTAACAAGGTAGATTTCATTCTAATCTAACACCTACCATAAATTTAAATTGATTTCAGTATCAGAGTGTATATACATGCTTTGTAAGTTCTTTTCACTTTAGATTCTAACCAAATATCCCAACTGTCTGAGACATTTCAGATCCACCATCATTGTTCTTTCTACCTCTGCGGGGTAAAATTTGAGTTTTGTTCTCAACGCTTATCTAGTATTTTTTTTAAACCAACCGATCACTTAATTTCTTTTATAAGAATCAACCTTAATCAATCAAGACAATGAAGTTGACAACAGTTTCTAGTATTTTTTTTAATTAACTTGAGTTATGTTATGACTTTAATTTGTTCATACAACTTTTTTTTGAACTATTGTCTGTTTCGGACCTGTTATGCAATCTTCTTGTTGCTTATAATAAACCATCATTAACTTTAATTCACAAATAAAATATGAGACTTTTTAAAACCAAAACAATAATTCCTAGGAGACTAAGGAATTACTAGATCATTTCTCTATCACGTGTCGCTTAAATCGACCAGGATTCTATGCAGTCGGACAATAACACAGTCATACAGTTAGTGAACTGTGAACCTTACAATTGTAATTAGATAGTGCTTATTTTAAATTCATAAATAAGTAAAAACCAGTACAATAATTGGATGGTTGAGATCAACCTGCAATTACAACTGGAATACATGGAATCTATTTTCATGGGTTCGCACATACGTGGTCAATGTTGAAGAATGAGCCTTGACCATTGAATGGAGTTATAGATGTAGTATGACAAAAACATGGAAGAAATTTCTCAAAAAAGTGGCGTGGCAGCCTTAAGCTCAAGGCTCAAAATAGGGGTTATTGAAATTTACTATAAGTCTAATCTCACCTATTTAGAAGCATTGTTCTATACTACACTATAAAAATTACTGATAAATTGGTTATTCACTTAATATAAAATTTTATTTTATTTTTTAAATAGGACTAGAGAAAGTAATTTGACAGAAATCAAATACAACTGTATTGATTAGCTAAAATATTTATACAATATTTAAAAATCAAGGCTAAGTCTAATTTATATACAACATTTATCCGCTTTAACACAACAAAACACTTTCTTTTAAAAGACAAAGACTTTGTGAATTTTCACACCAAAAATAAATAATATTTCATAGCAGCAATGATGTGAACTTAAGGTGGACCGGAACAATATCGCATGAATTGAACTTTACATTTTAAATTGAAAAACAATAGATTCATCAATAGATTAAGATTCATACACTATTTGTGCTTTTGCAATGTATTTTGGACTGGGCTGGCGCTTGGTCCACCATGGGGCAGGCCCAATCCAGAACCTCTACTATGGTCCAATAGCATCCAACCAAAGTGATTAACCGTTGGGGACGTGCCCACGTGCCCACAAGGGAAACGTGGTCAATGGCTATCTGGAACCATCATCCTGTCCACTAAGAATAACGGGTCCAACTTCCCTATTATCTCGGGGCAGTTGACCAGGGAGGAGGCCATGCGTCGGACTCCGTTACTCACGTAACCCTGTCAATCTTTGTTATTGGGCCCAACTACTTGGCCCAATACGTGGGTCTTGGCCCAGTGTTGGGGCTATAAATACCCTCTCACATGAGAGAGTTAGGTATTCATTCATTCTGCACACTTTTATTACTTACGCTTACTCTAAACCTTACTTTGGCATCAGAGTGTCTTGCAAGTACCCCCTCTCCCACTTTACTTCAACAACGATCCTGTTCCAGCTTGTGGGTCATCGACGATCTCTTCTTATCAGGTACGATCAATGGCGTCGTCTGTGGGAAACTACTTCCTTAACTGAAGATCAAAGTAAACTTTCAACCTCACGATCATCATGGCCGCTCAAGCAAACAACGATGACCAAAACGGCCACTTCGCCGACCTATGGAACAACAACGTGAGCGTCCATGAGCACAACCTCAGAGGTGAAAGAACTGCTTCTTCTTCCACTCGAACGCATCCGCTGGATAACCCTCTCCAGCAGGTCGAGCAACCCGCAGTGTACTAGGAAATCCCAGTGCCCGCTAATGCTGATCCCTCAACCCAGGCCCTGAGTGCACGCTCAATCAGACAAACTACATGCTCTTCACGCATGGTGAATGCCTTGCGATGCTAGAAACCCGCTGGTCCCCGAAAAGACACAAGAGGCATGACTCGCGCACCTCATCTCATCGACGACAGGAGCCCCGTTTGCGATCTCCTCCGCAGAGACACCAACAGAGAGATTCTCGCAATCCTTATCCCCTTCGTACCGGGCGACGCCTCCGACTAGAGAGGACCCTGTTAAACGGTGTTGCAAGTGATCGAGAGGGGGGTGAATAGATCACCTCCTTATTCTTCAAGGATTTAAAATCTTTTATCAAAATTTGTTAAAAGCAGTGGAAAAGTAAGGTCCAGAATCAACTTCCGTCTATTTTGAACCAACTACTAGAAAACCAGACATGTGATAAACTTGCTGGATTTTATTAGTATGAAATAGATAAATCTTAAACACAAATTACTTAACATTTTTAATGCACTTATCACTAGAACAATGTTTCCAATGAATTAAAACCTGTAAGCAATTTTGTCAAACGATTGGCATATGCTTGTTTGATGATTAATAATGGTGATTTGATGAAAGTATTTAAACCACTATTTTATCATTAAACAGAAAACTCATCAAGCTAATTGAATCACGGAATTTAAGAAAATGTAAAGAGATAGAGATAAAGAGAGAACAATACGCGGCAGTTTGGTAAGGAAGTTCCCCACTGTCGTCCTCGCGTGTGGGTACGTCTCCCTCTTAATTCTAAAATTGAAATTGAGAACTCTTATAACAATTTTTCTGAATGTTTGAATACAAGGTTACACTACACAGACAGAAATAAATCCCTAAGATCTTCTTCTTCTTGTAAGAACCTCCACTTGATATGAGCCTTATCAAGATTCCCTGCAAGATCCACAACCGATCCTCCGCTTCCATGACCTGTTTGCAAAAATCCCTCTGATTTCCAAACCCCTCGCTACGGCTGAATCCGACTTGTGTGATTGTGACTAACAAACCCTCAAGAACACGTCCGTTCTTGAAGGACAAACCCCTTGGTTTTTCCTCGAAGCCCCCTTCAGAATCTTCAACCCCAGTTGAGATCCCTTGAATGCACAATTGAACGTTATCTCTTGATCTCTTG